GATGTGAGCCATACACATTGCCAAATTTTACACGAACATACACTGACCAAAACTGGAAAATACGAAGGCCAAAACTGGAACATACACTGACCAAAACTGGAAAATACGAAGGCCAAAACTGGAAAATACACTGACCAAAACTGGAAAATACGAAGGCCAAAACTGGAAAATACACTGACCAAAACTGGAACATATACTGACCAAAACTGAAAAATACGAAGGCCAAAACTGGAAAATACGAAGGCCAAAACTGGAACATACACTGACCAAAACTGGAAAATGCGAAGGCCAAAACAGGAACATGCGCTGACCAAAACTGGAACATACACTAACCAAAACAGGAACATGCGCTGACCAAAACTAGCTGTATAAGAGAGAGGCTAGGTACAAGAGGACATGGGAAGATACCTGACACTCCTATAAACACCTGTGGGAACACCGACCGGTCACACTGTAACCGAAGCCTATCCGAAGTTAGCCATTTAGTTTCAGTTTCGATTTCTTTGGGAATCACCGCTCCTCTCGTTTTCACTGTGGTTTACAATATGTAAATACATTTCAATTGCCGCTGAATAACTTACGGGATTCTCTGTGTATCAAAAAGGATAGCAGGAGAATAACAATAACCCCTATATGCATTTAATATATAAAAATAATTATAGTTATACATATGTGCATATTTCCCATATAACTTTGTTAATTAGAGTTTCTTCCTCCTTTCTCCAATCATTTCTGTATCTCTCAGATGAATCTGTATATAAAATTAAAGGTCAGAATAAAGATATAACACCCAGATTAATCTATTTAATAACTTCATTGTCCTAATTAAGTTTTCCTGTATATTGTCGCGCTTGACCCCTCCGGCTTGCGACGACGCCGCTATCTCCGTCGTGGATCACCTACCCAGATTCCGTTGCTTTACCTCTGCAACTCTACCTTGTAGACCACCCAAAGACCCTCTGAGAAACACCACTTAAGTGGAACTCCTTTCCTCAGGCAGTATCTCTCGGCCTTACCACTGGTGGGGGGACACGAGAAACTTACCAAAAGAGTAGAGACTGTGGTGTTGGCGAGAGTAACAACAGCAACCGGCAACAAGACTTCTAACACTCCTCTCTTCTTATTGAAATTTTTAAACCACATTAATTATAACTCGAATAAAAATTAACGAATATTTACCTTTATTTACAGAGCCAATATGAAAACATCTATTTACAACTATTGGCTCCAGGAAACAGGACCACAGCAGTCGGCGATTCTCACACTAGAAACAGGCGAAAGCGCCATCTATTGGAGAAAATTGTAGATGTTTTTCAGGCTCATATACGCGACAATATAAATTTCATATTACCTTTATGTGATTCCATTAGAATGTGATTAGCTTTAATAATTGCTAAACTGTGTGCTTCCTTCAAATACGCAGGAGCTTCCAACCACTACCACTAGAGGCGTTGCACCTTTCCCTTCAATTCCTGTTATGTCTTCCCTTGTTCTGGCTGCTTGCTATGTCGTGAGAGATATATTAAAACTTATATATTTCAATCTATTCTACATCTGATTGAACCACCGATCCAACAATAATAATAATAACAATGCTTTTTATTATTATTATTATTACTGGTATTAATACTGTTATTCCTGCATGTATCCTACAATTCTACTTTGAGAATCTGTATAAAACTGAAAAGTCTTAATAAAGCTTTTTGTTGTTGTTGTATAAAGGTATAAATTCAGTGATTGATTAATGTTGAATAGCTTAAGAAAGAAGAATTTGTGAGTACTCAAACCGTCCATATATATTTAATCACCAAATTGTAAATAATCTCATTTATTCTTGTTTAATTTTTCATTAATTTTTGTAACAATTGACTGTTTCAATAAAATATTTTGTGAATGGTCTAATTGTTTATTCTCTTTGCGAGTTTTTGTACACATTTTGGAACTGTACGGAAATTGATGGAGTCTGACCTACTTCGATGTCATTTCTTCCGGCTAAAGGGCGACCTTCTAGGTGTTTACCAGTTATCTAATCGTAGGTGACAAGATAATCCACGACAGGAGAACAATGACAGTTGGTGACATCGCAGACAAATCCCTGGAGGACAAAGCCTAGCACCAGTCAGATGGCTGTTCTATATCTTACAAGTGTTGAATCAAAATTCGAAACTTTTATAGACGCAATGTGAAAAAATAGTACAAATGTGATATTGTACTGGGATAAGGTGTATAATTATGAAAAAAGGGACATCTCCTTATCGTGCAACTGAAGTATTTGGCCAATTCTGGAATAATTAAAAATCAACGAGAATAGTTGATATTTATTCCGATAGATGGCGCAAGCCATCAGCAACTTTCAGTTGCACGATAAGGAGATGCCCCTTTTTTCACAATATTATAAACGCGTATGATTCTTTTTAAAGAATAAAAAACATCATTTTTAAAGAATAAAAAGAATCATACGCTTTTATAATAGTTTCAAATTTTGATACCAGATGGCGAGCTAATGCATCATAATACAAGTGTTGAAGTCTTACACCATAGTAACGGGCATGCTATGGACCTCGTAAATTCTTGTTCATTCCAAAACTTCACCAATTCTAATCAGCTAGCCAGTCGAATACTCGATAAATTCTGCTTACATCATGTTTACATTTTGTGCCATTTATTCCATATACAGTTAAACCTATCTATAGCGCGCCCCCTCTTGGGATTCACCAAAATAGGGTGTTATAGAGAGGGGGTGCTATTGACAGGTCACTTTTAATGTAAAATGTTTACATTTTAATGTTTAAAATTGGGCGCTATAGAGAGGGAGGCGCTATTTAGAGAGGACGCTATAGACAGGTTTAACTGTACTTTGAATTTTAATCGGTAGATGTGTGTTCTCTGAAATACATTGCATTAGACAATTGACAATTTAAACAACACTATTGATTCTTATAAAAGATGCTAAAAAAGAAGAGAAAAATATATAATAAAGGAGTAAATAAAGGGTAAATAAAATGTAGGGGAATATATATAGTTGTTTATGTGTACAAATTTCTTCAGCAAGGAAGGCTTCCCCACCTTGAGAGAGTTCTCCTCCAGACAAGGTCTTCTTGAACACTCCTCAGTTCCACACCGAGGAAGTACATTACATTAGATTCAAGTAAGAAACTTTTAACATCGTATTGCATCTGGAATTCGAACTTCTGTTAGCACCAGAATGACCATGCGAAAGAATTAATTGCTATTTTGTGATAATAATCGTATTTGACCATGTCAAACTTGTTAGAGCAATTATCAGAGAAACCTTTATAGAGTAGAACTTTAAAAATTCTAACGTCTTTAATTTGAATAATTTATCTTGGTCCCTAGAATTACCTATAAATAGAATTTCCGCTTTTAATTCGAATTTTTGAATAATTCGATTTTTTTTTTATCCCCAAGGCTTCGAATTATCCAAGTTTGACTGTATATATACACTTTAGTTTTATTGGAATATAAAAAAAAAGAACAAAAAGATTAGACGGAAAACAAAATCAAAGTTTGCGTGAACGTATGAATAATTTTCCATTCAATTTTTTTAGCTCCTTATATATTAACTAATCCCTATATATTAACTTCGCCTCTGCCGGTCCCAAGCCCGGATGAAAAAGGAGGAGGGGAAGCAGTAACAAGCTCGCTAAAAAACCTGGGTTCAGCTGGCCCGGCTGATAATACCCTGTAAGGGCTCCTAATCCAGGGATACAGAATGAGTAGCGTTTGTACTCCATGTTAGGAGCAGCTGCACATGGCGTCTGTTCCTCATGTCAGAGGCGGCCATTTCTTTTGGAGCTAAGTCGGCCTGCCACTGAGTAGTGCTCTCAGTTTTTATGACAAAGGCAGATGCATTCTACTTCACCCACTCATGATGGTTGTCAAACAGACACCATCAAGGGTCACAAATTGATACCCTAATATGTTTGAGTGGAGATAAGGAAGAAGAAAGAAGCTTCTTATTTTATAGGAGACAAAAATCAAGAACCATGAAAGATATCTAAATTGCATGAATTCCAATTTCCAACAGTGTTTCACACACGTCTTCAATAATATTAATTATTAAATCCAAATTTCTCTCTCTAAAAAAAAAAAAAGAAAAATACAAGCGTTGCCAAAGCGAACTTGTCACGCCATCTATTGAGCATAAACGAAAACACTTTGCAACGGGTGAAGCCTTGGGGCTTCTGGAAAGTACATTCAGAGACAAAATTTAAGGAAGTTTCATATTATGAAGTCGTCGGTCGTCTATTTTTATTTTTTATTTTTATTTTTGAAGGAGACAAAGACAATTTTGTTCACATTTGGTTATCTCGTGTGTATTCAATAAATATCCCTGTGTATCAAATATCTTTCAGAGTTATTGTCTGCTAAATAGTGTAAAGGTACAACTTCCTTGAGTGTATTTTCTAACCTAGAATTGTCATAAAGTGGCGTACAAATAAAAATCTATATTTTCCCCATATAAAATGGCATAAATACCACATATAACAATATAAAAGGTTCTAAAAGAGAGCAATCAACAAAGTGTTATGTCTATCCAGATAACTTCCACAGTACTTACAAAACAACCAGGTCGTGGAGTTCTCCAAGTTTTCTCAAAGAATTCTAAGGTTTATAATCTTGATTGGTTATCTTTTAGTCGTGGTAGCTATATTTAATCTGTTTTCTGTAATTTGTTTTTTTCTTACTGTGGGTTGAAAGTACATTTACTTCTTAAACATATAACAAACAATCAGGTCGGGAATAATTAAAAATCAACGAATAGTTGATATTTATTCCGATAGATGGCGCAAGCCATCAGAAACTTTTTAGTTGCATGATCAGGAAATGCCCTTTTTATCAATATGACAAACAGCAAACAAGATATTAACGCCTTTAATCATGGAAAAATAATCCTGAATGATTTTTACTTCTCTCTCCTTCAAAAGAAAGTGAATAAATAAAAAAATAAAATAATTCAACGAATCAAATAAAAAAAGTTCCTCAAGACGGATTTGAACCAGCGACCTATGGATTAATATCTTTGCATCTAGTCCACTGTTCGGCCAACTAAGCTAACGAGAGATAGGATTGCTGCTATTTTGCTCTTTCTTTTGTGCCATTTTCAGACATTCCATAACGGTCACATTAGTAGGGCCAAAAGAGAACAGATGACTATATTTCGTCTTCGAATGGTAAAACTGCTCAGTATGCTCTTGTCCAAGTTCGATTCAAGGCATTATTTCGAAAGTCGAGAACAAAACTTTTAGATAGCGGCTCTTTATAATTCGGACAGAGCAGTTGAAAAGAACGGTTTGGAGAACCACAGATGTTTTTCAGACGACTCTTCATTTTATAAGTCTGAAATCTTCAATGAAAGACCCAAGGCAACATCAAACTATGGCTAGAGATACCTTGGAATAACCTGATTGAGGAGAGATTCACCAGTTTCTTAGGACTGATTCATCTCAAATAATAAATATCACAGAGTTCAGTTACTCTAGCGTGGTCCACATGCCTGACAACATTGCTGTTGACAACACCTAAAGTACCGATAGGTTTAAAGTAATTTCCAGTAGATCGCTGATGCCAACTTCTGTCGTAAGTTGAGTCTACCAGCTGGACAAGAAAGTCAGAGCGATATTGATGCAAAAGGGAACAATATTGTCGTTTATAATTTCCCACAAAAAACCCAGTTTAAACAACGCAGACAGAGCATATACAGTAGAACCTCCCTGTAAAGGACACTTAGTTGCAGAACCAAAGTGTCCTTTATGGAGAGGTGTCCTCTAAAAAATGGTAAATTTTCAAATTAAAACTGTCCTTTGTAGAGAGGTGTCTTCTAGCGGGATTGTCTTTTCATGGAGGTTCTACTGTATATAGAATTATTCGCTGGAATTGGTTCTAGGTAACGGTCAAACTTCCACGTGTCCTTGCAGAATTCGAGGCATCCCCAACTATATGGGGTGGCGGATTAGCTGAATCCAACAATAGAGCTAATGACGTCCCATGAATACACATAACCCATCGTGTAGTCCAGGATGTAAAGAAGAACCTCGGTGACGTAAGGAAAGCGCTGCCAAAAATGTTAATATTTCCATTATCACCCCTAATTTTTTTTTTCAGTATAAAGAAAGACACGCACTAAATGCATTTTAAAATATTTAATATTTCAAAAAAAAAAAAAAAAAGTGAGAGAGAAACCGTTGATAATATTGGTTTCAAATATATCTATTCTCAATTATTTTTTAAAGTTATATATGAAAGATCGAAGAGAGAATCTTATTTGTATAATAATATTTGAGTTTATTTGTGATATATGCATTAAAAATATATAAATATATATACAGTGGTACCTCGACATACGAGCGCCCCAACATACGAGTTTTTCGAGATACGAGTCGACGAGCAAGTGATTTTTTGCTTCTTTACGAGCGAAATTCGAGATACGAGTTCGGTTCGGTAGTGTTGAAGATATTAATCTGTGATTTTAAATGTTTCTTTTTGACCAGTATTTTTGTTTTGTTTTTGCTTTTCCTAAAATGTTTCTTTTTCCTTCTTCATTATTATTTGTTCTATATGCAAAGCTTTGTTTTTTGAGACTTGAATAAACAAATTCAAGTTTATTATATTTTTGTGTGCTGTGTTGCAACAGGTCGTGCATCTGACCTTTTTAATGGCACTTGCCTAACTCATTTCCGGAACATTCTGAGAAGGAGGAAGAAACAAACCTCCTTGAACATGTTTTTTTCTAAACGGCCTACAGGTGAAAGCGAGAAAAATGTAGCGAAAAAGGCAAAGACCAGTGAGGATATCTAATTTATTTCTTTACGTTCTCTTTTTTGTTTTTGTGCAATAAATATTTGATATTTATAAATACGTTTTTATTATTTAAAGCCACGTAACAAAAATAACTGGGGTGACATTTTGGAGGTCGGAACGGATTAATGGTAGTTCAATTGTTTTGTATGGGAAATTTGCTTCGAGATACGAGTAATTCAAGATACGAGCAAGGTTGCGGAACGAATAAAACTCGTATGTCGAGGTACCACTGTATTTTATACAAAATAAAATATTATTTAAAAAAAAAATTATGAAAGTTTTATACATATATGACTAAAAAAAGTGATAAAACTTGTTAATAGATGGCAGCACTAAACCCCCATATAAAATAATGAATTTTAGTAAAAATAAATTATATAATTTTTAAAAATAAAATTTTATAATACAATTTTAAAATATTTTACTTCATTTTTCATCTAAATAATGAAAAAATATTTAATATTTCATTAATTACCCATTTGGCAAGACTTAGGTCGAGTATATAAACCGTAGAAATCCTTAGGTTATTAGCGCGGTTAGAGAGGGAACCAAGGGAGGACCAGACTTGCTTTTTTTTTCATTATTTAGATGAAAAATGAAATAAAATATTTTAAAATTGTATTATAAAATTGCTTGGAGTCTGGCGCTGTGCTTGGTCCTCCCTTGGTTCCCTCTCTAACCGCGCTCTCGCCCTCTCCTTGGCCCTCCTCTGCGGCGGACGCTTGGAGACACCTAATCATGAGTGATGCCTTAAAATGCTAATCCCAAAGCATGTAGAAGGCAGAATAATTGTACAAATCCTTAGATTATTGTACGCTTGTTCGGCGGTACATATACTAAAATTGGAACGATACAGAGAAGATTAGCATGGCCCCTGCGCAAGGATGACACGCAAAATCGTGAAGCGTTCCATATTTTTTTTAAACAGCAATTCAATTTTTATTTATTTATTGGTATTTAAAGATTTGTAATCTTGGATCGTACCCCGCGATTCAGATTCCAATTGTTTTAAAAATAATTCTGAGATATACTTGTTTAATAAATTATTTTAACAGAAGTTTTTTTTTTTTTTTAATTTACCCTCAGGTACTTTATAAATCTTCATCAACTTTCATCTGTGAGAGAGCAGGTGCGTTGTCGTGGTGAAAGATGATTTTTTTTCTACCTCAAGAAAGGCCTCTTGACATTTTGACATCCAGCTGGTCACAAGAAGGTTAGAGTAATATTCACCTGTAATAGTTCTATCTTTTTCAAGGTAATTAATTAACAGGATCACTTTAACATCCCAAAACACACCGCCCATGACCTTTCCGTCAGATGGGATCGACTTCGCTCTCTTTGGAGCTGAACCACCACCTTCCATCCACTGCTTCGACTGCTGTTTGATTTCTGGCGTGTAGTGGTGGACCCATGTCTCATCCATGGTGACAAATCGCTGCAAAAAAAGTCGGTTATATCTCTCTTGAATCGGTCCAAACATTGCTGTGAATGTCGTTTGCGCGTTTGCTTTTGATTTGCATTCAGAAAATGCGGCACCCACCTTACGCAGAGCTTTCGTATCCCTAATTCTTCGTGCAAGATGTTCCGCACCCTTTCTTCAGATATTCCCTCGGCCTCAGCTATCTCACACACTTTAACTCGCCTATCGTTCACCACGATATTGTGAACCTTTTCGATAATTTCTAATGTGGTTGCAGTTTTTGGCTGTCCTTCACGTGGGTCATCTTCGACCAGCTGCTCACTTTTTAACGGTTGAAATTGAAGGTAAAAATTCCCGTAAGCTTTTGTCAACTTCGGATGAATTTCTTTAAAGATTAATCCATCCAAAACCAAGAATTCAATAACTGCACAATATCCACGTTTATCCATTTTAACGAAACACGCGCAAGACGTAAATTGCAAAGACTCATTTACACAAACTTCTTGAACTAACAAGTTGAAACTTGTGACAAGTGTGCCCAGGGAGGAAAAGTAATATTTTGCCGATTGGAATGCCATCTCTGGGTCAGGCCGAGAAATTTTCACTTTACCCTTGTAAAAGTATTGATTAATATATTATTCTTACTAATCTGCATTAAAGCATATTTCTCTCCCCCAATGTCTCTGCGTTATTTTATGTAAATAAGTTTAGATTGTTTTGATCAAAATAAGTTGCCATATCATCCTGATGCCATCAAAAGCACGAATGTTTTTTATAAATAAATTATTCCAGTCGTTCTGCTATGTACGTGGGTTCGAGGAAATGGTCCTCTCTGGTAGCTCCTATCAGGATCGCCTCGAAGAAGTTATCGTCGACAGAGAGAATGTGGTTTTATGGGATACTAACCAAAGTGTATGATTTTCGAGCCCAAAGAAGGGCTCGTTCGGGATTAAAAAAAAAGTTCCCACGGCAGGAATCGAACCCGGGCCTCCTGGATGAGAGTCAGATATCCTAGCCACTAGACCACGTGAAAGATGAAAAAAAAAAGCTCCCCGGCGGGGAATCGAACCCCGGTCGCCCGCGTGACAGGCGGGAATACTAACCACTATACTACCGAGGATATGTAATCTTCAACAGAAGCACATCAGATCTATCTATGCCAACAAGGTTTTCAAAACGTAGCTCACAGTTTTCATAGGGAAGGAAGGAGCTATGTAAACAAATATTTATTATATTCTTATGGCGCCCTCATCCTACCTATGTTTTGTCTCCCCCTACCCCTTCTATTACAAAGCTTCCAACTTTTAATATAAACGACTCTTACCATTGTAAATAATAGAAAGATGGTTTTAAATATATTTTTAGTATCATTATGTGTTTTAATATATTGTCGCGCGCTGACCCCTCCGGTTCTTCGACGACGACGCCGCTTCCTCCTTCGTGGTTCACCTACCCAGGCTTCGTTTCTCTCCTCTGCAGCCCTACTCTGAAGATCTTCTGAGAAACACCACTCGAGTGGATCTCCTTTCCTCTGGCAGTATATCTCGACCTTACCACTGGTGGGGGGACACGAGAGACTTACCAGAAGAGTAGCGACTGTGGCGTTGGCGAGAGTAACAACAACAACCGGCACCAAGACTTCAAACACTCCTCTTTATTGTCATATTTAAACCACATTAAATATAACTCGAATAACAATAAATGGGGCGATTCCCACACCAGTCCCAGAACAGAAATAGGCCGAAGCGCCTTCTATTATTAAAAAGTTGTTGTCCTGCTAGGCCTTCTGATTCATCTACACTATTGAATGTGATAGGTAGACTCGTCCTGGTGGCATTTAGTAT